GGAATAACAATTACATCAAATTCATCAGTTAAAAACTTGATTGTTTTTCGATGAATTTCATTCTGTAATTGTCTGATTTTTTTTCGCATACGAAAAATAGCTTTGTCAACACATAATGCTTTCTTTTTTTTCGTTTTGAGGTTGAATTTGCTAGTCTGTCTTTTTCGATATGAGATCATCCATATATTTACATAAACGAAAGATACGACCTATATCATATTCTCCTATCTTGCCTACACCTTTTGTTGAAGAATACCATGTGAATGGTGTACGAACTCCTGGATCAATTGAAACTACATGAACTTCCGCTTGTGTTTCGCGGACCTGTTTTTGCGTTTCATATACCCAATGAAATATCCATTCATTTGTCTTTTGTAGATATGTAAGCTTACAATCACAATCTATCTTTTGTGATGGCCACTTATTATGCTTTCTTTTTGTTTCAAAATGAAATGGGCACAAATCTCGCTTTCCTTTTAATTCATTGGGTTTATACCGTTCTGATGACAAAGTTGAAGAATTATGAAGATGTCTAACATAAAAATGGTTCCATTCCTTTTTAGAAAAATTTTGTGCACAAATGGTTATTGTTTGTTGTAAATCCTTTTTAGATTTAAAAGATAATGATGATTTTTTAGTAGCTTTTAAATTTTTTTGTATGAAATTTTTTCTAGCCATCAAAGCTTCATCAATATTTTCATCAATCACATTTGCAGGTACCTCATTATGTAGACTTCTAAGATATAATCCTAACCATACAACCGTTCGAAGAAATTTACACTCTTCCCATACACATAATCTCTGTAATTTCTTGTCTTTTTCATCAGGATCTTTTTTAAGTTTTTCATTAAGTGTTTGAGGCTTTATATGATTTTTGTTCTATCTAACAACAGTATTATAAGCATATCTTATTAACCCAAGCCATCTCTTCAGGATCTTTTTCTGTGAATGATTCAGATATGCTTTGATTGATAATGTTCGATTCACAGTTGTTTTGGTTTTCCTTTTTTTTTGCTCTGTGTGTTTATTGTTTTTGTCATCTTTCACTTTCTGTTCTCTTTGATGCATAGCTGCCCTTCTTCCTTGCATTTGACAGATATCTTGGGAAAGTTTGTGCTCATCAGATGTCACATCATTGAAGAGAATCATGAGTTTTGTAATATAGAGAAAGAATATATACTGGATGAGATTGAAGGCAAAGCGGCAGAGTCAGTCATGATGGGTAACCACAATTCCTGAGACCATTCCGCGACTTGTTCGTTCCAATAAGATCTTAAGTCCCGGTTATTTGAAGTTGACCTCTGATCCAATATTGCTGATAAGTTCATAGGTTGGGTATCGGGATTTGAGGAGTTGTTTCTGCTGTTCAAGATCCTCTTTTTGCTTGACACTAGAGACCCATGCATAGAGGATTCCTTTTTTGGTGGTGGTGATAGCGGCGGTGGTGGCTATGGTGGTATAATTGGCATCTTGGAAAGTCAACTCTAAAAAAATGGAAGATATGTCATAAAGGTGAGTACCAGAAGGAAATGTTTTAGCAGTAATTATTTCTTGCTTTAGCCAACGACATAAGGTATTTGATGAGATTCCAAGTTTTCTAGTTGCCTTGTGTGCAGACAAATACATGAAGAAGAGAGTTTATGAGTACGTTTTTGATTGATTTTTGAACCTTATATAATTTTCATTGATAACGATATTACAATCAGCATTTAGCAAAAATAAGAACTTCGGTAAATTCAGAAAATTCCTTAGTCATGAGGCTCAATATTTGTGTTTATGTGTTTAAAATAGTAATTTCCCAATTTTTTCCTATTCATGTATTACAATAGTGATACCTAATTAAATTCTTTTTTGAAAAATTGTAATTTCATCAAAAGTTTTGTCTCTTTAATATTTTTATATGAATAAATATAAAATTATTATATTTTTTAATGTATTTTAATTCAAGGAATTTAGATCAAGTTAAATATAATTTCAGTAATTAAGTAAAATAATTTTGTCATTAATAAAAAACTAGTTTTGTCATTTCAGTTTCGTCAATTTCGTCATATTAAGAAAGGTAATTTCGTCAGATATCACTATCTTTGAATAATTACTTTAGTTTTAAAATGAAACTTTAAAAATGAGAAAAAAATCTATTAAAAATCACCTTTTAGAAATGATTAATCTGAAATTTAGCTATTATCTATTCATTAAGAATATCACATTATAAATATTTAAACAGATAATTTTGAATTATCTAATTAAAATGATTTGTATTATTTTTTAGAATAATAAGAATAATATAATACATTATTTCTTAAAAATGATAAAAATTGATTCTTTTAGAATAATGATGTATTATTTCTTAAGAATATTATTCTTTTGAAATAATGATATATTATTTCTTAAGTATAATAAAAAAAATTTTTTTTAAATTATATTTTAATTATTCCTTAAGTAATATACTAGAAATCAATTTGATTTAGTAAAAGGTAAGAAAATTTATTGGAGAAATTAAAGGGTTTTTTTACTTTGCTAAATGCTAAAGTACTGAAATGCTAAAACTTTAATAAAATTATATTAAAACTATAACGAAATGCTAAAATAATGAAAATATTATAGTAAATGCTAAAACTGAAAAGCTATAATAAAACTATATTGACCTCTTATAAAAAATTTAAACTAATTATAGAAATTTAAGGGTAAGATATACAATTAAATATTATAATATACCTTTTATAATAATGATATATCTTATAATAAACTAGGAAATAGAATTTATTTAAAGTCTAAAGCATAATTTGATATTATAATAAATTTTAAACCATAATGCTTTTCAATTAAATGCTAAATGATTAACATATACAATTTATTGTTATATATTAAAAGTTATATAAAACTATGAAATATATTACAAAGACTTATCATGTGATATCATAAATAAAATATCATTAGTTAATTAGATAGACAAAATGACTTAATATTGTATTACAAATACCTAGTAGTAAAGGTTTTCTGCTATGCTTCAAACAATTATAATTATCTTGTATTTGATAGTTTAATTTAAATGAAATTTTTTTATTTTATAAAGTTTAATAAGGGTTATAAAATAAAAAAAAGTTTATAAAGATTAAATTACTAAATAGTAAAATATTTGTATAATTTTGTTATTTTACATATATTAAAAAGGATTTTACAATTATATTAGTATTTAAAATGCCTAAAAATAAAAAAATTGTTGATGTAATTTGATTACTAAATAACAAAATATTTGCATAATTTTATTATTTTACATATATTAAAAGCCTTTTTTGCAATTATATTAGTATTTAGTAGTAGGTAACAATTTACTCATAACTAGGTTGCAATATATATATATTACAATCTAGTTATGAGTAAATTATTACCTACTTGCATTAAACTATTACCTAATTATGAGTAAATTGTTACCTACTTTGAGTATACTGTTACCTATTTATGTGATTTTGATGCTCTGTAGTCTTTTTATTGCTTTGTAGCTATCCGTTTGTTTTCATTGTTCTGTGGTCTTTTTGTTACCTTGTAGCTATCCGCTTGATTTTATTGCTCTGTCCTCTTTTTATTATCAAGGTACTATTCATATGTTTACAATGCTTTGCACTCTTTTTGTTTCTAAAGAGCTATTCGCTTGTTTTTCTGCTTCTGGATCTGTTTGGTGACCTGTTAAGATATCGAGGATGCTTCTTTTTTTTGCGCCTTTTTGGTTGCCATTTAAAATACTGAAATGATGTAAAAAAAGAAGCGATAGGTGTCGTAGTGAATTTGCGATTAAATTTTACCAGCTCTATGCCATAATTTTGGTTAGATCTATGACATAATTTTGGCAGATCGACATATCAAGAGAGAATGCTAAACTTACTTGCAATCTTACCTTTATATTCCCATTTGATTGCGAGGTTGAGGCACAAAGTGCCGAACTTGCAATCTGTATATTTGCCATTTCTTGATTATCAGATGAAGCATGAAGTGCTGAATTTGCAATCCATCTATTTGCTAAAGATATGTTGCAATCTATTCACCCACTTTTGATTGCTGGTGAGACACATGCGAAGTATTAGTATTGTGCCATTCTTGCAATCCCGCCTTTTATATCCTGTTTTATTGCCGAGAATGAAGCACGAAGTGCTGAATTGGTTCAGAATTTACATTTTTCATACCCTTTTTTGTGTATTCTCCTGAGACTTTCTGCCTTTCCGATCCTTTTCCTGCCTATCATCAGTAGTATCTAAAGTTATAATTTCTTATTTTCTTTCCTATATATTATTCTAACTTAGGATATTACCAAATCTATACCTTATTTTACGTTCCTCCCTTCCTAGAACTCTTTCTCATATAGTTGCTACTCCGGGATACTTTAAGATATTACTGCACTGATTGCTTTTGGGTATTACTTTTGGATACTACCACTGACCCAGTATTTTGCTAATCATATTCGCTCAAAATAGTAATTTTGAAGATTTGGTATTTTCTATATAATTTTATATTAACTTTCTCTACATACCTATCATGCTACTTGCACAAAAAAAATTTGAACCTAATCTTGAAGAAATAAATGAAGCAATAAAGCTCTTTTCAGGTGTAGTAAACCTTGATTTTGAGTTGGACTATATTGATCATGTGTATTTCCAATATTTGTCTAATCGTAAAAATGATATTGCTCTTCTAGACGCTTATCATCCTGAAGAGATTTTGATAAATATATTATTCAGGTGGCAGATAAGGGCTTTACAGTTGTTGATTATCCATCTGAAGTTTATGGGATTCCCGATTCTCATGAATGTATCAATGGAAACCTGCCTCTTCACCTTGTTCTAGATATTGATGTGAGGCAGAAATCTGGTTCCACTTCCGCTAAAAGTATTGGAGATATTTATCTTTTTTTGCTTATGCAATATTAGTAGTTAAGTTTAATTTTACTTCTGAACTAGCAATCTGGATTTGCATATATTCAGGTCGATTCTTCTGCATCTATAAAATGCAAGACGATATTGACACTAAAGCCTTAGCATATGCCTAGAGGCGGGAAGATAAATGCTTAGCTAAAGTTAGTCCTAATACATATTTATAGGCATGTAAGAAAAATCATTAATAGGAGGTGTCATATAAAAATATGAAACAGAATTATAGATGGTGCAACATTTGTCCTAATATACCAGAAAGAACATGCTAGTATATATTTGAGGATTTATTACATAAAAAATTTCCTTTCCGAAAACCTAAATTCTTGGAGGGATTACATCTAGATAGATATAACGAAGAGCTAAGCTTAGCCTTTGAATATAGTGGTAGCCAATATTATCAAATTGTTTCTTTTTTTCACCTGCAAGGGCAGATGAATCTAGACGCACAAATCTGACGTGATTAGGAAAAGAGGACACTATGCTACAGATAAGAAGTAATTCTTATAACTTTACTCTACTGCGTAGTAGACTTAGAAACTTTTATAAAAAGCGCCTTGTGTGCATTCGGTTATCTCTCAATACTCACCTAGGAGGCAACATAGGCTCTTCCTTAATATGCATTAATTGTTCTCTTACAAAGGAACGCTGAAGTCCTGAATCATCTAAATAATATAAAACAGTCATTAAAGGATTCTTTCCAATAACAATTCTTCGGATTTTATGTAAGTTAGAGGATCATATTGGGTCTGTTATTTTGCGCCATTCGAAAGAATCATTTTCCCATTCTCCTTTAGCAAGCAAAAATTGGATAGTAGTACCCTTTGGTAGTTGAAGTTCATCAATGCCTATTGGCCGATTATATTTTACTGATGGTTTAAAATAAATCTGATCAAGTTTTGTGGCATTATTAGGTCTCATTCCAATTAATCAAGTAGGGGTATCATTCATATTATTAATAATCCTCCTTGCGAATCGTTCACATTCTCTACAGCGTTTGCCAGTAGGTAAGAGAAACTCTACAGCATACTGATTTTTAAAAACTCTTAATTCAAATATTTTGCATAACGGTCAATAAAGGCTAAGCTAGTATATCTGAAATGTGCGATAATTCTTTGGATTTCAACATCATGCTTATTCATTAATAAAGTTATATATCCCATAAACTCAGTGTCCTTATCACATTGTAGTTTTTGAGGTCAGTTAAGGGGTTTGTCAGGATTATCATATATACTCTTAAAAGCTTCTATGACTTTTGCACTACTTTTTGATGTTAAAAAAACAAAATCTTTATATCTAGTCGCACAGTCTATAACTAACAATACATAGTAAAAGATTGGATCATCGTCTAATAAATCTATATTCACATCATCATATGGTATTTCGATCAAATCACACTGGTATACAAAATTCAGTTTTGTAATTCTAGAATAGCTAGCATAAGGTATATGCTTCGGTGAAAAGTGAAAGATTTGATATATTACTTG